CCTCCAAGACTGTGCAAAACAAATCACGTTCGTGAAAGAAGTTTATAAAGTACATTATCTGTATTCATATGAGGACCATGTTTCATGACTACTGTGCACACTGTGCTCCCACAGATCAAACTCTGTCCCAAGGTTCTGTTGGGACAGAATCTCGTTTGGGGTCAGTCTCTAGAAATCCCTTTCTCAGTTCCGCATGCTCATGCCAACAGAGAAGACTGATAAAATTAAGGCGTTTACTTACAGCAAGTCACTAGTGAAAAGGCCTATAACCCAGGGCCTAATAACAAGAGACAGGGGTCTCACACACACATTTTCATTCTCATTCCTTTCTTCCTTTCCAAGCCCCAGGTGGGGAATTTGTGAATATTGTGGACACGTTGACATTTTTCTTATCTTGGCTTAAAAAAAAAGTGAGATGAGAAAGGAAGAAAAAAAAAGGAAGTGAAGGGTAATTGTTTTTTGATGGTAGAACCCTCCACCTTCCTATCATACAAGGAGAGCTCCGGTCCTGGAATTGACTTCCACGAACTGGGCAGGGACCCCTGCAGGGGCTCTGAACCGCTCCAGCATCAAGTGATCCCGCTGTAATTGGACAAAAGCTGGTAAGCTCTTTTAGGAAAATGATCATACAAAATCTTTCACCGCTTCATTTCACACCATTTCAGAGAAGTTCGTGGACCCTCTGAAGATCAACTGATGACCCCTTCCACCAGCCCCCAGGCGAAGAAGTTTGAAGCTAAAGAAAGCATTTGTTAGCTAAGACTCTTCACTGTAGCAAAGCCATCACCTTGCAGCCACATCACAACTTCCGGCTGTCGGTGGCAGTGCACCAACACTGGGGAGGAACCACTGTTGTACAGAAACCCATGTCCTGATGTGCTGTTTCTTATTTCCGTCCAGCTTAAATTTTGTTGCAACCTAGGGCCAACCCTCCCTTCTTTTGCCTTGATGGATGACATATAAATAACCACATAAGTAGCCCTTCAGAGATGTGAAGGAACGATTTTTGCACTAGAAGGCTGACTAGGTGGTAAGAACAGATGAGCAGGAGGCTGTTGAATATTCGGCAGAGGCACTTTCAAAACAGGAAGGTCCCACCTCCTGGAACTTTGGATGGGCTGTTGGGCCTTGAAAGCAGAGGACGAACTAAAACTACGGAAACCTCGTGACGGAAAGCAGCTTCTGGTGTCCATTTAAAGTGGCTTCGGACCTGAAAACTTAGTACCACATTTTAGCCAAGGGGAGGAAACAAGAGGATCATCTGATTTAGATCAGAATAAAGATTTATTTGGGTAAAGAATTATAATTCTTTTTATTTGCAAAAGCTGAAAATACTCATAGAAATTACCAGCCCCGAGCTTGGGTTGCCGCCGGCTCGACCGCATGAGACAAGAGTCTGTCACTTCTTCCTGCCAGGTTTAGGGGCCTTTTCCAGGCCCTGGATGTGTTTTCGAGGAAGCTGATACTCTTCTACAATCCAAAAGGCAGAAACTCCTCAGTGAGGCCAGTGCCTGCTCCCCTCCTGCCCCCTCGCCGCTTCCCCTTTGTCTCACGGCGACCCTCCCTCCTCGGTGCCTCCGACCCCCACGGTCCCCAGTCTGCAGAGCCACCTCCTGGCCCTCTCGCCCCACCAGGAGCTCATTCCTGCTGTCAAGTTCAAACAGCTTCCATCACATGACCGGCTCTCTACATCCAGCTCAAACTCAGCTCCTACGGGAAGCCTCCTGGGATGGACCGTTTATCCCTACACCTTGAGGCTGAAGTGTGTATTTCAGAAATCTCCACGTTGATAGCTACTTTCCAGGCATACTTTAGCCCCTGTAATTTTCTCCCGAGAGAGTGTGTGTGTCTGAGTTCAGTCATGTGTTGATCTTATTTTCCTCTGGATTTCTTCTTAGTACCTCATGTGGGGTTCTTCACTTAAAGGGGTCAACTCTAAAAGGTAGCTGCTGGGTACAGCCTTAGACTATGAAATAAATTTGTTTATTGAATATTTGCTATGTGCCAGGCCCTGGGTATGAAAAAAGGATGAAAAAGGGAATTAGATCTCTGAGTCAAGATGCTCAGTCTAACAGGGAGTTCAGACAACAGAACCAATTAGCCAAGTTACAGACAGTAATCAGAAATGTAAACACAACTGGAAAGTGGTATGTTAGCAGTTTTAAATGTGAACTTAAGGAAACAGAAAAAAAAAGAGAGAGAGAGAGACATGTAAGACAGGCTTCCTGTGACCCTTGAGCTGGGCCAAGGAGCCTTTAAGGTCAGGCTGTGGGAGGGCACGGGAGGTGAGGGGGCGACACAGAGAAAAGCACCCATGTGTGAACTGCGGGTGCACATGGGAAACAGCCCGGAGGCCAGCACGGCTGAGGCCTGGCGTGGGGACCAGGGACCTGTCGGGGAGCCTGCGTGGAAGACTGGGGTTGGACTGGGATGGTCTTGTTTACTGAGCTTAAGAGTTTATTCTGAAGGCATTGAAGAGACATAAAAAGTTTTTAGAGAGGAGTGATGTGATCACGCCTGTTTTAGAAAGCTGACTCAGGTAGCTTGAACCAAGGACAAAATGCAGGCTGGGTGACTCAGGACTGGTAGAAAGAACCTCGGCTGTGGAGTCTGACAGAGTCACGAAGTTTAGAGCCCAGCTGCACGTTCAATAGTTGAATGCTGCAGCACAAAGCACTGAATCTCAGTTCCCTCATCTGCAAAACAGAAGCTGTTCCACGGCCTCATTATAATTAAGAGAGATCAAGCCTGCAAAAAGCCCAGCAGCGTCTAACGCGGTCTGGGTGCTCAGCAGACGTTTCCTAGAAAGGGAAAACCAGGGAGAAAACTACTCTACCAGTAAGGCGGGGAGAACGCTGAATTTGCGGGGCCAACGGATCTGGTTTGCACGTTAGCTCCACCTCTTGCTGGCCGCTAAAAACTATATGGACCACATGTTTACATGGGAAACTCACTGGAGTGAGTTTAGTTGGTGGGAAGATTTTTGCCAAGTTAGACGGTGGTCTCTGCTCCTCCAGAGGAGACGCTTACCGAGCAACAGCCGGCCCAGGTGGTGGACCTGGTTTCCCTGGATCTGGACCTGCAGGCTGTCCTTGGCCCCAGGGGCAGGGGTGACGGTGGTGCTGGCCTGGCATCGCTGCTGGAGAATGGCAGCCACTGAGCATGGATCCAGACCATAGGCCTCCAAATTCCGGACCACGGTCACCTGTGGGGACAGAAGACTGATGGTGGGTACAAAACATATGCCCTCCCCTCCAGAAGCCTTCTGGGCCTTCAGCAGCCTCCTCACCCGCTACGTTCACTATCCCTGCCATCATGGTATCCTTTCATCCAAATAATTAATTTTTGTGCTTCTAGATTGATTCTTCTACCCCATCCAGTACAGGCGTACCTCAGAGATACTGCGGGTTTGGTTCCAGACCCATCATACTAAAGTGAATATCACAGTGAAGTGAGCCACATGGATTTTTTAGTTTCCCATTGCAAATGAAAGTTACGTTCTTCTAACTTTTATGTTAAACAGTCTTTTAACACCATACTGTTAAGTGTGAAATGACGTATGCCTTAGAAAACAAAGTACATACCTCAATTAAAAAATACTTTATTGCAAAAAAATGCTACTCGTCACCTGAGCCTTCAGTGAGTTGTAATCTCTTTCATAATAGTAACATCAGAGAACAACAAGGACCTACTGTACAGCACAGGGAACTATATTCAATTTCTTGTAATAACGTATAACGGAAAAGAATCTAAGAAAACACACACACACACACACACACACACACATATATACACACGTATGTATAACTTTGCTGTACACCTGAAACACTGTAAATCAACTATACCGCAATAAAAAAATTTTTTTAATAGTAACATCAAAGATCGCTGACCACAGATCATCACAATAAATGTAACAACAATGAAAAAGTTTGAAATACTGCAAGAATTACCAAAATGTGACACAAATATGTGAAGAGAGCAGGCGCTGTTGGGAAAATGGTGCCAACAGACTTGCTTGACGCAGGTTGCCACAAACCTTCAATTTGGAAAAAATCCAGTCTCTGCGAAGCACAATAAAACAAGGTGTGCCTGTATATGTTATATATTTAGTGAGATAGATACTGTATCTCATATATAGCATATTTTTAAGTTTTTTTTATTATGGAGAATTTAAAACATAAATAAAAGTAGAACAGAATAATGAGCTCCCACGTACCCACCGCCAGTTCCAACAATTACCAACTCATGACCAACCGTGACCCATCCCTGCCCCCCTCCACTCCCCACTCCTGTATTACTTTATAGCAAACCCTCCTAGACGTCAGATCATTTCATCCACACATGTTCAGTGTGGCTCTCCAAAAGATAAGGGCTCTTTATAACAGAAAGACAAAACCATCATCACACAAAGTTACACATTCAAGACACAGTGGCTACTGCTAATCATTATTAAGGTTATCATTCTTGGTTCTCATTTATTGACTGTTTATATGCCAAGTACTATTCTGAGTGCTTCCCCTACATATATTCCGTCATCTGATTCTCACACTGCCTTATGAGGTAAGTATTAACAACCATTCTTCACATAAGGAAACTCAGGGAAAGAGACACTAAGTGACTTCCTCAAAGTCAAGCAGCAAAGCAAAGGCCACATTTGAACCCAGGTCCAATCCTAACGCCCACGCTCACAACCACACACTACTAGGAAGTTCTTTATTTTGAGCCCCAGGCTGTCTTCTTAGGATTTCTACCCAATAATCTTATTTCTGTCTTCTCAAGGCACACAGAATAAGTACGCTCCCTTTCCCAAGGCCAGCTTTTCACATACTTGAGGACACATGTAATTTCTTCCCTATGACTTTGTGTTGCCAAGCCAAACGGGCTCAGCTCCTTCACCATTCTTTACCGGTTGTTTTCATTGGGCAAGGCCCAAGATGGAACAGAATGAGCACGAGCTGAAAGCTCAGACCATAGTTCTAAGAAAAAAATAAAAACACGATCTTGTTTACTTTTGGAACCAGGCTCTAGCAAGTTTCCTAGCACAAAATCCTAGAGGGCAGTGAGGGAGGGGTCTGCTTTATCTGTCTGACACAGGGCCCAGTCCAGTCACACAAACACGGGTGTTTCAGAAACAACCTTTGCGGTGTCTGAGGCCAATCTAAAAACCTCCAGTCACATTAGAGAAACCAGAACTTAGCAGGGACATGAAATCACCAACTTCAAACATTGTGTCTCTTAAAAATTACCTTCTTATTAGAAGCTCTCTGTGCTAGGGTGATGTCAATTGGGCCAATTTTGCCTTTCTTCACAATGGGCTCTTGTCCTGGAAAGGTCACTTGATAAGCAGGCTGCAATTTTTCCAAACATCTGAAATGTGAGTTGATGCGTTGGAGACTGATAAAGCCAACAGAAGCCATTTCCTCATTCCCCCACCCTCTGCAGGCGGTTGGGTGGGAAAGGAGTTCAAAGGCAGTGGTTTGCCCTTGGCTACACATTCAAATCACCTAGGGAGCGAGACCCCAGACCAACTAAGTCAATTAACTCTGATCAGGAAGATACATTTTTTAAAGCAAAGTGCGGCCACAGTTGATACCCACTGACTCAGCGAAGGGAACATCAGTGACTTGAGCCCCTGGAAACTGTCCGCTGGCTTGGCCTCCTGAAAATCTGCCCAGGCGGCCTTGCGCAGTTTACCAACTGTCTTAAAACTCCACCTTCCCCAGCGGAGTAAAGCTGCTACACATTTCCACCACATTCCAATCATGCATCTTTTACAGATGCCCTCACTATAAGGAATTTCTATCTTGTATCTAACCAGATTTTCTTTTGCCATCATATATACTGGGATTGACAAACTTCTTCTATAAAGGGCCAGATGGTAAATATTTTAGGCTTCAAGGGCCATATGGACTCTGCTGAAACAACTCAGCTCTGCCATTTAGCAGGGAAATGGCGTAGACAGTACATAAATAAGAGGGTGTGGCTGTGTGCCAATAGAACCTTATTTCCATAGAACAGGTAACAGGTCAGATTTGACCCACAAGCTATTGTTTGCTAACTCCGGATATAAATTATTTTCAGTTTTGGTTCTGTGGGAAAAGAAAGGGTATAAGGATCCTTCCTTTGAAGACTCAAAGACAATCCCCACCAACCCCTACCCCCTGCCTCCTTTTTGTTTCTTTATCTTTTTGAAGTTCTTATTTTTAATAAATGTTCTCTCTCTCCCTCTCTCTCTCCCCCTCTCCCTCAAGTTCTCCTATATTGTGTTGGTTCAAACTGTTCCAAAGTCCCTCCACATCAGAATTACCCAAGCCTGTATTTATGTAGACTGACATGGTATGAATTGTGGAAAGCAAGTCAGAGATGAAGATAGTGACAATTCAATAGTCCAACATGATAAAGATTAAGGGGAGGAGATGGAAATGTCAGAGGGGGGCTGCCAATCCCCACTACCTGCTCAGGAGACTGTCCCATGGAAGCTTCACGACTGCGTGCTGCTCATTTTTCTCTAAGATGCAGTCACATAGGATGGGATCCAATTTCACGAGACTGAAGGGAAAGAAGAAGCAATGAGGAAGTCCTAGTGTCGCCCCTTCTGATGCCAGGTCAGCTCGGGATTCATCTTTTATGAGTCTCTATAGCCATTCAGGATTATTAGAACCAACTGGGGACCACAGTCTACAAAGCGATGTACCCTCTGGATAGGAGGTACATATGTTCTCCCAGAACAAAGGAGAAGCAGGTGGTGGAGGGGAAAGTGGGATGGGAAAAATCTGAAGACTGGGATCCTTGGCTCAGTTCTGCTACTAACTAGCCATGATTAAGCTGGTAATTCCTAACTTTTTTATCATAAGGGTGTCTCTTGAAATTTAAAAAAAAATGGAACATTCTTCATTTGGTAGTTTACCTTCTGTATCCACTTACTAAAAAAATAGAGAATAGTAAAAACCTCAGGTGACTTTGGTAAAAGGTTTTCAAGTTGGCATTTTATGCCTCACACTAGCATGCGCACTTGAAAATCAGCAGAGGATATATATGAGATGACGCTTATTCAGCCTACAGTCTACGCTGACAGCATATGTGGATCCGGACACCCTAGACCACGACTCTAAGTGTCCACAGCCTGTGGTTTAGAAACCACTGGCCTTGATTATTTCTAAAAGGCCGTGACCCCCTGCGTCCCCCCCATCCCAGCCACGCCCCCTGAGCGCGTTTAGGCCTGCCGGAGGCGGGCGCCGGGAGACTGACGGTGGGCCCTCCTCCCGGTCCACTCACTTTTTGTTGTCTGCATCAACCAGGTCGTTTTTCTTGGCGTAGTTGATGACGATCGTTCGGACCTCACTGCCCTCGAGAACGCTCCCCTTCCTAGGTGAGAAGTGACCTGGGGGTTATTTCACACTGTGCCGGGGGACAAGCTGCAAATACGAAGACTCACTCCCTGCTCAGCAGGGTGCTGTCCTCGGCTTCTCGACCGCAGTGTTCTTCCCTTTTCCTGCCTGAGGCCAGCAGGGCCTTGTGAAGAGTAATTACAGGTAGAGAAGGGAGAGGCCTACTCCCTCGTTCACTTAGTCCAGAGACACTTCCCAGGGGAAGGAGGCTTGAGGCTGGGTCTGGGAGAAGGGGGCAGAGGGGCAGAGCAGTCACAGAAGAACACTACTCAGGCTGAGAGGGCTACAGGCCAGAACAGCAAGCAGGCAGAGGCGGGCTGCTCTCCGAAAACTCACTTGTGGCCAGACTCCTGGAAGAGCAGGGTCATGCTGGCTGGGACACAGTAGAGGGATTTTATATCTGGAGGGTGATAGGGCTGTTCCCTGCTACCCTCCTGGATTGTCTGGGAGGTCGGGGAGGGCTCGGGTATGACGAAAGATGTGATCCTAAAACCCAGCAGAAGGAAAGAAAAAACACATTTCATACTAGTGTCTCGGCAATTCCCGGTCCATGGCCCAGGTGCCCTGGGCCAGCTGAGCTGCGGCGACCGGGCCCCCTGCACTCACCTTGGGTGCTTCCAGTCCACAGCCACAATGCTCTCCACCCCTTTGCTCAGCTCCTTCACCTGTATAATCTGCTCCTGCTGCATGTGCTGCAGGAACTTAGAGAGCTAAGGGAGAGAGGGCCAGTGGTAGGGGACTCCATCGATTCCGCACACATCCTTAGCACCTACGATGTGCCAGACCCCAGCCAGTCCTGGGGAGGGACGTGGGATGGTCCCTGTCCTCACCGGTTAGGAAGTGGGAGGCCCCCACCCTGAGAGTCAGGGAGTGAGAAGGTGCTGGAGACTAACTGGTGAAGCCTTGCAGAACTCTGAGCAGATACAAAGGGGTGGAGAGGAGGGAGGGGAGTGGGTGCCTACCCAGCTGCCTCAGCCCGGGGAGAGTTTCCTTCCCCCACTCCCCCAAACACCTCGAATCAAAAAGCTTAATCCTAGCCTCGGCCCTGCAGACAGGGCCTCCTCTCTGTCCCTTCAGCTCGCGCCGCGTGTGCCCCTCCACAGCTCTCTGTGTGGGTCTGCAGAGAAGGTACCCGCTTACCTTTTTGTAGCTTGACTTCTTGATGTCCAGCTGTCGTCCTTCAGGGCTGACGGCAGACAGAAAAGGCAAGTTAAGCTAACAAAGCAGTAGTGGCGGGGCCTGCCTGACACTGGGAGGAGGGCGTTTTCCTCAGCCTTCTTCCTGTATGTTCGGCAAGAGGCTGCTGTTCCAGAACTCTCTGCCAGCAGCAGTATCTGACAGAGATACAGACTTGAGGGCACTGTCCTTGCTATCCAACGGACCTTTCCATAAAGATGGAATGTTCTCTGTCGGCTAGTTTAAGTTCAAATAGCCACACATGGCTAGTGGCTACTCCACTGGCTATAGCTTTAGATTCCTCTCAAACCAGACAATCTTCTGTGGCCTCAAAAGTTTCACCTCCAGGTGAACCTTTCCAACACCAAGTTCACTGTCACAGCCAGGCCTAGAGCAGGATTTGGCAAACTGCACCCTGTGGGCCAAATCCTTCCGCACTAACTCATGTGCCATCTCTGGCTGCCTTGGTGCCACGATGGCAGAGCTGTGGAGCTGCAAAAGAGACGGTGTGGCCTGCTAAGCCGAAAATAATTACTACCTGACTCTACAGAAAGTTTGCTAACCCCTACCCTACAGCTGTTAGTTTTGGGAGGAAGGTTCCTAACGAAAGCTGTGACCATTCCACCTCCCCAGAACTTACATCTTCTCTCAAAATGTGACAAGCAAGAGCAGTGGGATTCACAGGGAGCCCTCTCCGAACCCACCCCAGGTTAAGAACCTCTCTCCTAGAGAATATTCTAGAATCCCTTTTCCCAGTTACTTGCAACCCAGCAAGGTCAGGACAAATTACCAAGTATCCTGCCACACACTGCAGACCCCCCACTTGTATAGAATGCCTTAAAGAAGCCCACATGTAAAGAGGAGAAGAAATTACATTAAAATCACTTTTTTAAAAAACAGAGCAAAATTCTCAAAAAGAAAGTTCAGACTTAGGGTGAAATCAATGAGCAAATCTCCTGACATGACAATATTTATTGGGTGCTTAGTAAATGTCAGGCTATTTAATCCTGACAGCAATCCTACAAGTGTTGTAAATTAGGGCTCCAAGAAGCCTGGTAATGGCTCAAATTCACCTTGCTCAGACGTCCTGGGGAGCTGGCATTTAAGCCCAGAAGGCTCTGTCTTCAAAGTTAAGGTTCAATCCTCATGTAACACTCCCTCTCCTGGTCGCTTGTGTTTGGGGTGGGGTAGGAAGGTCACCCCCATTCTTCTTCCTGATACGACCTAATCTGGCCCACCTACTCTTCAGGAAATTGTGAGGGGATTGAACATTCCAGAAGAGGCCTCCAGGCAAAAGGGCTATCCCAGCACCCTTCCTAGACAGGACATACTGCCCGATTCGTGAGAGAGCCCAGAGTCACCGCAGCAGATGGTGCTCAGAGGATCTTAGAATTTTAAACTTCACTGCCTTAACATCTTCTCACTGGCTAAAATTTCAGTTTTGAAAACCCAGTTTTGCCAGATCAACCCTCCACTTCACTCTTTCCACATCATGTCACCTGACCAATTCCCCCATAAGCTTTGTCCTGTTCTACCACCAAAAAGAAAGAGAGAGACCCACGCCCCGGCCTCCAGCCCACGCCACGCCTTCCATACCAGCAGGAGAACATGTGGCTGCCAAGGAGCGTGCTGGTGAGTAAAGGCAGGTCGGCCTTTTTGACGCGGCACTTCAAAGCATGCAAGAAGCATCTCTGCAACAGTTCGTCCATTTGCTCTGCAAGGAAACAACAAGGACCACATCCTTCCTGAGGGATGCAGGAGGCCGGCGCAGCACAAGCAAACTCCCCGCAAAGTGACTTGCCTACCTCAGCTCTAGAAGGAGCCATTCCCAGGCACCCAAGCTCCCAGACTCTACAACACTGACCCCTTACAGAGAAGGGGTCAGGCCACAGAGGCCCACCCAGCCAGGCACAAAGGCTTCTCTGACAGAGAAGACAGAGCCAGAAGAAACCTCCTGGGCTCTGTAGGTCCAAATGACAGGCCCAGGGAAACGTGACTTATGTGGCAAAGACTCCCAGGTGAGATGGCAAAGCGCTGGTGTACCACCCTCACCAAAAATAAGGACTCTCCCCTGCTCTCCCAGGGCCTTGGGGCCACTCTAGTCAGAAGTAGAGCAGAACCCTTCAGCCTCCTACACGGGGAGGAGACGGGCCCTTCTACCCTCAGAGCTGTACCTTGAAGGGTCTTGCTGTCTGTGGGGTCTGGGTTCAGGCCCCCAACACTGGGGTCCTCTGTGGCTTCTGATTGGGACTTCTCCCCACACATCTGCTGAACCTCTTCATCCTCCTCCTCCTCTCCCTCCAGGGCCAGGTGCCTCATGTCTCCCTGCAGGGTGGCGTCTGCCTGGACAGACCCCTTCTCTTCACCAAGATCTGGGGGATCCAGGGCCAGTGGAGCAATGGATGGTGGGGAAGACTTGTCTCCAGATCGCCTGCAGAAACCTCATGTCAGAAACACTGAGCAGCCGTCACAACACCCTCCAGCCTTGGTCGGGGGGTCAGCGGGAGTCCAGAGACAGCAAAAGCCACAGGCAGCGGTGTCCAGGAGAGGGCAGAGCCTGGGCTCACATCTCAACTCTGTTTCCAATTCTGGGCCCAGGAAAATCCCATTCCTCAGTTTCCTCATCTCTGAAATCGGGAGAGTAATTCCTGCCTCCTCCTTATCCCAAAGGAATAATAATATTATTAAGAGAAATCCAAGGACAGAGAAAAATTAAAGACAAAGTAGTTAAAGAGAAGGCCTCTCCCAAAGTACTCCTTTCATATGAATTAAAAATAAAACCATTTTGAATTAAATAACAGAATTAAGATCACAAATGCGTCTGTAGAACCAGTTTGGTGAAATACAAACCCAACGCTCGGGGTGTGTAACAAAGCACAGACACCTGGACTGCGCAAGACTGCAAAGTCCGTTGCTTCTGCGTTAAGTTAGAACGCAACCTGACCTGCAGAGGAACGATTACAATGGTTTTACACCACTAAGTCACTAAGTTTTATGAAGATGGGGGAAAAAAGTGTTATCACATAGCAGAGCTGGCAGAGCAGTAAAAGCAAAAAGCTTTATCTTCACGAAGATTATACAAATCAAACTAAGTTATAACCTACAGCTGCCGCAAGGCTTATGAGTATGGTTAAAAGTGAGGCCAGAGTGTACGTTTAGGCCCTTCTGATCAGGTAAATACCATGAACTCTTTTTAAAGGGTAGGAGGTGGGGAGACTGAGGCAGCTGCTGATAAAACAATTTAGACATGACCTTGATTGCTCAAACTGACAGTCAGAAAACAAGGTGCGGGGAGAATGTCAGGGAGCAGCCCTCAAGTGTCTGCTGAAACCCAGACTAACACGGTTGTCGCCTCCAGCAAAGCAGGGCTTCGCCACTACTTGTACAATGAATAAGTCCAAGACTGACTAAAAATGTAGGGGTAAATCTATACCAACAGACTATACTTGGCCAAAAGACCAGGCATACTGTTTTTGAGAAAAGCAGTATTTACTGTTTTGGTTAAATGACAAGAAAACAACCAGAAGATGAGTTGGCATAGAGCTCCAGAGAGCGACCACCACAGCGAGAAAAGACAGCTTCCATAATGGGCAGGGAACCAAAATGTGAAACCTGAACAACATAAAAGTAATTGGGTTACCACCCTGGTGCCTGAGGATCTACTTGACTTTGATCCGGATTCAGATGTGAGAATTTCCAAGCACACGTCACGAGGCCAGAAGGTGCCTAAATGTACATGGCAGAAAAGGCCAGATGGACTGGAACTATAAAGAATATCACTGTACTGAGAGGCAGAGCAGACAGTGGCAAAAGCCTTCTTCGAGGCCTAGGAGTCTACAATTCACCTAAAAAATAAAGTTCTCTATGATTTCTTCTCTGAATAGGCCAAAAAAAGGTTTTTTCCCTCCACATTTAGCAAGGAAATTAATGTCTGGGGTCAGCAACTTGCCTAAGGACACGGCAGGGACCAAAACTCTCACTTCTGAATCCAGGCCCCATGCTCTCACCACCCACGCAGCTCTCTGCAAAACAGAAGAAACACTGTACCCACCACAAGTGGTCCTGATAGGTGTGGAGCACAGAGAAGCCCTTGCCCTTCAGGCCTGAAGCCAGCATCTCGGCTGTGGACATGGTGGCGACTCCAATGGCAACGGGGGCTCTAAGAAGGAGGAGGCCAGAGACAAGGGTCAGGGAAAGCATCCCACGGGGGCAAGATGTCAGGACCCGCTTTCTGCACATGTGCTGAAAGCACAACGGTTGCAAATCTGAAGCATCCACTTATATCACAAAACTAAAACTCGGTCCAGTCTCAACGTTCTTCAGATTACCTATAAATACGACTTTCAAAAATTCCATGACCAAACGTTCCCTTCCGTGTGAGTAACTCCTCTACTGATGTTATCACTGTTTTATTATGAATCAAACCCAGGCAGGACTTGGAAGGGCTTTGTTGTTGTTGTTAATGGAGGTAATGGGGATTGAACCCAGGACCTCATGCACGCTAAGCACATGCTCTACCACTGAGCTATACCCCCTACTTCCTAGAAGGGTATTTAAAGTTCCCTTTCTTTAATTTCAAAAATATAAATTATCTCCTCTACCTTAAAAAAGGCATAGCCATCCTATAAGAGAGTTCAAAAGGGAAGCTATTCATATGCTATAAATTAGGCTGAGCGATGCCACAGAGAAGAGAGAAGAGAGATACAGTGGTACCAACTAGCGAGCTTCCTTCTGAGCTGGCTCTTTATAACAGGGCTTGCTCTGTGCAACTATCTATTTAAGAAATGGGCGGGTCCGGAATATCAAAACAGCCGCATTTACAGTAACTACAAAAAAGCCCAGATGGGAATCTGTCAGCCCAGTGTTACTCAAGCCCTGCTCACACAGCGCCTGTGAGGACTGATGTCCAGCTGGCTGACAGCGGGGGAGTACAGAAGCCCACAAGGCTGCCTGGGCCCCAGGGAGAAGACTCAAGGGCAGAGATCCTAACACCTGAACTTCAAAAAATATTTGCTAACCTCGTGGCTCCACTCACTGTGCCCATGGGTCAGTTCCTGCTGCGGAAACTTTCAATCTGGCTTCTTTCCCAGTTCCTAAAAGAGAGGTCTTTGTCTCCCACCCTTCGAAGGGTCTGTGGCTGAAGGACTTCAGTTTCAAACGTAGCTTGTAGTTTCAATAAACTCCCCTGTGCCCTTATCCCCTGCCATAAATCACCCGGCTCAGTCCCCACATACGTTCCAAAGGCCACGCTAAGCAGGCCAAATACACATTTATGTAGTTTTCTCCCATCTTGGATAGAATACTGCATGGGGGCAGAGGGTAATAATACTCTTCTTTTCAACTGCAAGTTTTGCTGCAGGTAAACAAGGAAGAAAACATTTCTAGGTGCTTGTTTCCAAAAGGTTCAAGGAAACTAGGAGAATATAAGTGGCAAAGATCAGATCTTTAAACACTGACCCCTCCTGTGCCTATAATCTCCCTCTCTTCCTCTCTCAAACAAGCAATGAGTGAAATGATGAGATGTCATTTTTCACTCAGGATGACACACATGAAAATGACCCATCACATCCGGTGTCGGTGAGTGAGGAAACAGGCTCTTTCCATCCTGTAAGTAGGACGGAAAACTGATGGAGCTTTTTTCGTAGAGCAACAGAAAAGATGCATGATCTTCAGCCTAACTGTTCTGCTTCTTAACATCTGCTTTAGAAAAATCCTGGTGCTAGTGTCCGTAGAGGCATCAGGAAGATGCTATTTGTGACAGAGACAAAGTCGAGGCATCCACAATGTCCACTCGGGAAGGACTTCTTCCATCATCACATAGCAGGTAGAAAGATTCAGCTTGTCTGTTTGCTGACATGGAAAATATCGCAGTATCTTAGGTGAAAAAACTGTATGTATCCTAAGTGAAAAAGTTCTGCTTGTTGTTAGGGAGGGCATGGCTCAGTGGTGGAGCACGTGCTTAGCATGCACGAGGTCCTTGGTTCAATCCCCAGTACCTCCATTAAAATAAATAAATAAATAAATAAATAAATAAATAAATAAATAAATACCTAATCCCCACCCCCAGCCCCCAAATTAAAAAAGAAAAAGGGCAAAAAAAATTTGTTTAATTCTGTTTGTTGTACTTTTAAACATACATACCCTAAATCATACATTTCATATGCACATGTGTATATGCACTGAAGAAGGCTGGCAAGGATAAGCATCAGAATGATAATGGTTACCTCTGGAAGAAAAGGATTGTGGGTAAGGAGGCTTTAGATTTTTTAGAATTGTTCATATGGTTACTTTCTCAATTATTTAAAAAAAGGAAGCAGTGTGGTGATGGCTAAACAATTCAGAGAATCTACTAAGAATCATTGAATCGTACATTTAAAGCAGGTGAATTTTACAGTATGTAAACTATATATCAATAAATCTATTAAAAATAATTAAAACATGAGGGTGACAATGTGGATGTTGGGAAAAGAAGTGTCGAAGTCATGACAGGAAAGGAAAGACCAAGAAAATGTCACAGACAGGAGACTAAGACAGGACAACTAAATGCAATGGTGTATCCTAGACTGGATCCTTGAATAGAAAAAAAGACATAGTGGGGAAACCAGGGAAATATGAATAACGTCTGTAATTGTGTTAATGAGATTGTACCAATGTTAGTTCCTTAGTTTTGATAACTATACTGTGGTTATAAGAGAGGTTATCATTACAGGAAGCTGGGTAAGGAGTAAATCAGAACTCTGTAATACCTTTGAAACCCTTCTGTAAATCACAAATTATTTAAAAAAAGAAAGAGAGAGAGAGAAGCAGCAGGAGCAAATACACTTGGCCCAGATGTGTGGACACCCCACAGGTTCACTGCCATCCCCCACTCTCTGATTCTTCTGGAAGAATCTGCTTCGTTTTGTTTTGTTTTATTTTTACTCCTTTATCCATATGCTGTGGAAGTTGTCATTCCCACCACTCCCCTGAGTTTCACATAAGTTTTTCCCCCAAAGGCACAGCTGACTGACACAGTACCTGTTCCCCACCAAGGCAATGGCGCAGAGGTCACCCTTCTGCACCTGAGGCAGACCAGCAGGGGGCACCACTAGTCCCGGCAACATCAAATCTGCAGCAAACAAGTAAGTGTTACAGTTCTACAGTTTACTTCATCATTTACTTATTCATTCAACAAACATTAATTATCAACTATACTATTCCTAATGAAAAGAAAAAGTAGCAACCTGAGAATCAGATTCTTTTCCCTTTGGGAGGCTAGTGTTCAAACTGAAGCACCAAGCTGAGGGTCCAGTTCCATGATCTAATTTATTCTGATTTTCTGAATTCAGCTTATTAATATAAAGTATAGCATCTGGCAGTCCACAAAGAACTTTCATGTCACTTATCTTACTTAAGCCTTACAACAGGGTCAGAGAGGACCAGGGAACTTATGGAAACAGCCAAGTGAGAGATGCAACAGACATGAAGGGAAAAATTCCATTTTTCAGTCATATGAATGCACGAAATGGGCACATTTATTTAAATAGTTGGCCCTCACTAAGTAAGTTTCAGCCAGTGTCCAGAATATAGGAGGATACTCTTACCTGCTCCCCCCACCAGTTTTTCCAGCACCAGAGGCCATGTTGTAAATGTTGGTAGAAGATCAGGGTAAGACCACAGGGTATACACTGTCCAAAAAGAGAACCAGAAAACACTTACTGTCCAAAAGTCAATCCCCTAGGGAACTGGCAAAGCCAAACACTAAGGGGGCCCCTTTAATTAAGCTGCAGAGAAGAAATTCAACTGAAAGCTAGAGAGAAGGTTGTGAGGGGATGTCCAAAGAGGTTGCATTCTTTTTTTTATTAGGTTACCCCGAGTTTGTGAAGCAGTTTATATGTCACATGCCATTCACTTTTAGACTCTTTGCTTACTTTAGCCCTAGAGACCTGATTCTTTACATACTTCTATTGAGCTCTTTGAAGTAGTTTATCTCAATCTATGACATTGAGAAGTTATCATTTTTATAGCAGGAAGACACATGATGCGAGCTGTAGATTTAAGAATCTGTTTAACTGCCGAAGTTGGATATTTACATGAAGTTGGATATTTACACATAAGGCTACAGGTGAATATTTGCTTTGTGAATATCTGCTTTGGCCTGTCCGGTATCCCTTTCCCCTTCTCTGGGAACCAAGTGCCTCTTTTCCTGTGGGGAACACATCCCATAGAGTTTACAAGGGGCTGACTCCCTTCTCAAAGAGGTCGCAGTCTTGAGAAAGGCAGAGACTTCAGGACCTGGATGTCACTTGACACTTGGGAGACACCTGTTCCACCTGGACTGCAGCAGGGAAGAATGGCCACAGTGGATAAATGTAGGGACAGAGACCCAATGAAGATTCCACTGATGACCTCAGAAACAAATAACCTAAGAATGGGACGCCAGCCTGCCAGAAATTTTGAAACTTTCCCATGTTTATTATTTTGATTCCCTCTGTTTCCATAGTGATTAGCAGTAAAACCCTGAGATCAAAAAGGGCTTGTATTTGTGTAGCAGCAAAGTGGGGTAGGGGTAGAAGCGGCCTGGGGTAGGTGACTGCACTGCTGCAGCCAAGTATGGAAGAAGAAAAGCCCCAAGTGACAAAGTAGGTGTCAGGAACCATGGAAAAGAGAAAAGGACACTGACTCTCTGGGATCTGTGACAAAGAAAGAAAGCAAAGAATCCTGGGAGCCAGGCAGAGCCTAAGAAAGAATTCCTGTGAAATATCTCAATTGGAATCCTTCAATGAGACAGCTGGGAATGTGGTTTAATTAATCCAGCTTTTTTCCTATCGCAACATCTCAGTATCTTAAGAAAATCCTGCTAGTGATAGTTTAAAGAAACATTTTTTACATACCCTAAAACTCCAACCTTTTCAAGACCTCTGCTCTATCCCTAGTTAACCCACTAGAAACTAATGTTCCTTCATCTCAGAATATCCCTTGGCAACCACTTTCTTTCTGTTAGCTCCCCTTTTTTTCCCCTTCCCTTCTAAAGCAGTTTCTGGTCCTGAAAGACCTAATTCTAGGGACATTAAATCCAAAAAGATCCTTTGGAATGATATTGGGAGATTTTGCACTTGTTTGCTTTAAGAAAGACAGGTTAATGGAAGAAACAAGGAGAAATAGATGTTAGGCAAGGACCACAGTAATGGCCATCTCCATCCTATTGCCATACCTGTCGGGTATAGATTTTTCTCCAGTTCAAATAGGATGGGGTTACCACCACTCACGTACACAGCCACTGCATCCCCTCTGTGAGCATACAACTTCACAATGTTGAGCTCTTCCTTCCCAGGTACTAACTCAGACACCTGATCCGTCCCAAGAGTGGGGAAAACAGCTGTTACATCAGCCCGAAGTTTTCTCCTGCAGAAAGCACACATGCCTGGTATGAATGTTGCCTGGATGGATTTCAATAAAAATTAAGGACCCAGAAAGACTTACTATAAAGTCATGAGGGACAAGGAAAAGACTGGTTTATGATGCCCTTATTCTCACACGCTCTTCCAAAACATTCTATTCTCTTTCTCATCCAATGCCTCATCTATTTTCACGTGTTCTTCAGGCACCAGGAACAACCCAAGTTAGCCTGCCACTGGAAACTCAGCCTTGCCTGACTTCTTGCACAGCTCTTGGACCCGCTCCTTTCTCATACATGGTTGACAAACCTGTCAGCTTATGATTAAGTAGCTATTCTAGGGCACCAAGAATGACAACCATAGAACACTGGTTTCAAAATCCCCAAGGTGATATCTGCATTTGCGGCACTGTCTGAAGAGATATAGTTCTTACCACTTATCCTATCCCACCTCACCCTCCATCTGTCTCTCCTGCCAGAGGTTATCACTAGACACTTCTTCTTGGATACCTGTAGTTCTCTGGGTCCCACATGATTTCTCCCAAGGGGCTCAAAAGCTCTTGGGAGGGCAAAGGCCCCGTATTCCTTCATTTTTGCATCCTCCACAACATCCAAAACAGACTGCAGTCAGTACGCACTGATTGAACTATGTTTTCTTTTTAACTCACTAGAATATCCAAAAGATAGTTTGGAAGACAAATCAGGCCTCCACTCCATTTTCATCCTCAAAATGTATCTAACTCACCCTTGATCCCCTGGCGTCCCTCCTCCGGCTGTACCCCTCGACCTCCACCCCAGGTCCGCTGACCGAGCCCAGAAAGGGCCGTGAGCCAGACGTGCTTGAGAGATGTCTGGGTCCCTTGGTGGGCAGAGCAGGCCCCTTCTCTCCCTCACCTGTCCGACCCTTTGATGGCCGTGTTGGACTTGACCCGAAAGGCCTTGGCAAACATGTCTGCTGGAGTGGCCTGGGGAAGAAAAGGAGACCACAGAAGCCAAGGGCTGTCAGGAAAACGAGAACACGGCGGCTTTCCGACCC